CCCTACACATGGCCCACATCCCAGGCAACCTGACCATCTACAAGTCTCCCAACAAGCCATGCTCTGTGTCTTCTCTGAGCTTCTGCCAAGCAGATGTCCCTGGCCAGTTGTCTTTAAGCCTCTGCCCACCTATGGCAGTTGGGAGCGAAACCTCTTCTATGCTCCCTCTGTGCCTCACGCTGTACTCACCATGTATTGGAACCATTTGCCCTGTGCCTCTCCCCACCACCATGCTATATGGTCCCTGAGAGCAGGGCCCAAGCCCTATTTCTCTGATGCTAGGACCTAGCACATTGCTTGGCATGCAACAGGCATTCAACAAAGGGCTGCTGAGTAAAATAAATGAATGAACAAATAAACGCTACATTCACACTCCATTAGCAGACAATCCTGAAAATCTACTGAGTAGACAGAGCTGTCCACTTTTATTAAAGAAAATATAAATGAACTAGGACTTAAGGAACGAGCAGCTCTTATCTGACCCAAACCATATCAACTTTATTCCCAATGAAAGTGCCAGCAAAGTAAAGAGACCACAGGAGCTATTCTTCCAGAACACTGTTGGGAAAAGTAACAGATTTTAAGCAGTGAACTTTTTGGTTTACTGCAAAGATTTCTGTGAGTCACCTGCCCACAGCTGATGCTTTTTGCCAGCGCTCCGTTTGGGAAAAGATAAAGCGTGGGGGGAAGGATGAGTCATGCTGAAGGCTCCCCAAGCTCACCGTTTAAAAAAGCCAAGAACATTCAATTCATTTCATGTTTGCAGAGGAGTCTGGTCATATTCAAGGTAAAAGCCAGATAAGTACATCCTTGCAGAGAGGCACATCTGGCCGCTGGAGCTGCGGGAACAATCAGAGGGCTAACCAACCCAGGCAAGATGCCACGCACATGGACATGAAAGGCTGAGGAAATGACCTCTAAGCTTTTGTAAAAGGGCTCAGAAAAGCCTGCCCTTCCAAATAGCATGTGAAAGTGCTTTGCAGATGGAAACATATGGCTAGGAAGATAAGCTGCTCTGCCTATGCTTTTGTAATGGCCATAGGTATCAGTGAAGTCCTACAGTCCTCGCTACATGGGCAAAATGCAATATTTCGGTGTAACAGCGACCCTGAACGTGGGAGTGGGATGTTATGTCTGAGGAGCTCAACGTTTAGCCATTGCTTTTTCAAAGCATCATCCTCCACAGAAGTCCGAACGAGTTCAGCTGCAGCCAGACCCTTTGTAGCTAGCGAGGCGCTCGGACTGACCCATGAGCTACTCTGACCACCTCCCCCAACCCTGCCCCATGGCTTCTGATGCCAGCGGCCCCTTCCGGTTCCACGTGAGGCCCTTCAGTGGTGGAGTGGGGCGGGCAGAGGGGAATTGAGGTGGCACACCTCTATATGATTATTGAAGGGTATGGTACCAAGCAAAGCTGAAAACCACAAACAAAAACAAGGGAGGAAAACACAATATTTATTCATGTATTGTTGTGAAAAGCCTAGGGCAGTGTGGTAACAGTGGCTAACTGCTTGTATCATTTGCTGGTTGCTTCATGGAAGAAAATGCCAGGCTGTACCTACAGCAATTTCTGTCTGTCCCAGCAAGAAAATGATGCAATACGCCCAGCTATGTCTCCTGCCCAGCGTTTGTCACCAAGATATTAGAGTAACCGTGGCAACTTTTCCAACAACACTGAGACCCCAGGAGTTCAAAGGCATGACAGCTGGGAGAGTAAAGGACCAAGTTCATTTCACATGTCTTCCCCGGTGACCTAACTCTTTAGCAGG